AAAGATAATTGAGCTACAAGGGTGGTAATGAGTATATAGAGGGGAGAGATAGGCGTTGTGTAGGAGAGCGGCCCAGATTTCGGCTAAATTATTCTTGGCAGGACAAAACTTTTGTGAGGCACCTCCGTACACTCTACTTAAATAGAACCCTTTAATCTACGTATACCTACGCTATACTTACTTGTATCCTACGGATGTTACCTGGTCAATATAACCCCCTACATATGTATGGACAACCCTAACCCAATCCCTACGGACTAACCAGCCGGGACGCATGGGGGTGTGCATAAATACCAGCCATCACCTGTCAGGCCACATTCTGACACGGCACATCCCACAGTATCCCCTTGTCCTGGGATGAAGTTACTTTCATCGCTGCTCGCCATTGCGGCGGCTCTCTCCCCCATTATATCTGCTCTTTCCGTCACCTCGACCAGGACGTGGAATATTACGAGTGACGTTCAGGGATCCGTGCGTCTCAACGGTTTATCCTTCCAGCAAAATGCCCTTCTTACATATGGAAACTACCAGTACGTAGCCTTTTACGCCACCGCTACTGGATATGGAAAACACTACGTCAATCTTGGACGCCGGAAAATCTCGCCTCAGCTGGGTGACTGGCAGTACTTTGCTTTTACCGACTACGTTCAGACCACGTTCGATGAACACAACACCATCAGCATGGGTATCAGCGGCGATGGAAAGATACACCTGTCCTTTGATCACCACGATACCGTGCTCAACTACCGCGTTAGCAAGGCTGGTCTCGCCACGGATGTCCCTGCAGAATGGACAGCAAGTGCCTTTGGACCCGTTCTCCATGAACTGGAAGGGCTACCCGGTCCTTGGTCGCCTGTGACATACCCTCGTTTTGTGTCGAATGCCGGGGGAAACCTGTTTTTTGAGTTTCGCATTGGCAAATCCGGCGCTGGCGACTCCTACCTGCACCAGTACACCACCACGGGGCAATGGTCCAGTGCCGGGAAGTACATAGAGGGCGACAACAACAATGCCTATCTCAACGGCATCAACGTCCACGAAGGCATTCTCCATGTTTCATGGACGGTTCGCGAAACACCCGATGCAAGCACAAACCACGACTTTTACTATGCTCAGTCAGATCAGGACGGACGGGCCTGGAATCAAACCAATTTCCAAGCAGTCAGCTACCCTATACGGACTACAGACCCTAAGGTCAGGGTCTTTGCGATACCGCAGAACAGCCAGATTATAAACCAGGAAGGGCAGTTTGTAGACGGCAAAGGACGCTTCCACGCGCTTATGCGCGATAATACAACCGGTACTGCCCAGTTCTATCATTACCTGCGGGTACCCACGGGCGGATTTAGTAAGACTCCCATCAAGGTACCCGGCCTCTCTGCACCGCCATATCTGTCGTACCGAGGCAAGATTGTGGCTTCTGGCGACAATTTAATCGCGGTATTGCCAGACCAGCCGAAGATGACGATTCAGATCTGGACTTCGACTGCGGGAGGGAGCTACACAGACTGGAAGAAACTGGCAGAAATCCCCAATTCCGCCGGCGAGCCCTTGGTGGATGAGGAAAGGTTGACTAAATTCAGTGTCTTGAGTTTGTTTGTAAGACAGGGCGGACCGTTTCCAGAGCGCAAGATCCAGGTATGGGATTTTAGTCTTTCATCTTGAGATTTGTCGTTGAATGGCCCTGCAATGTGCGTAGCGGGGTTTGCGCGTGTACATTATCTTAGCAATGGCGACTTCTGCTAAAATATTACGATAATCCGTATCTGCTTCGCGTGCCCCAGCTCCGAACCTTAATCACATATCTCTGCCCTATCATGTACGTGCCCGAGATACGAGCTGCCCCATACATAAGCTGCTATTGCCCGGTCCATGCAGCAACGCGGGTAAGTTGAACCGGATGTGAGGAATTTCTCCGTTAATAGAGTTTTTGCGGACTCGAGGGGGGGGGGCACCGCGTGACAGTCTGGCAAGTAGATATCCATGCAGGTATGACGTTAGCATCTTGGGCCTTGGCGGTCCAGACTAGCTCTTTCAGGCCATGGCTGCGGATGCAATACTCTTTTCACATCAAGATCTGCGCTGCCCCTCCAACCCCGTGCAACAAGATTGTGCAAAACCTACGAGTAGCAGCAGCAAGCGTGTCGGGAGAGGCCCTCGAACCGGAACAACTGGCAATGCTACGCTGTTTAATCCCACCTATAGCCATGCCTGTGATCAATGAGGGGGCCAGCTTTTGGGTTGGTCGTTATGCCGGTGGTATGACGGACTCCTGCAATGGGAATGGTGTTTGCCCCTGGATCGGATCGATCTACACTTGGGGGTGGAAGATGGGAGACGCGCTTTTGGAGCCTCTTGTATGTACAGGCATGGAGCGGCCGAGAAGAGTTCCAGACATTTGGTTAGGCGGCCGGGTACAAGTCATGGTGAACCGTGCTAGGAGGTAGCGGAATGCCTGCATGGGAGTAGCCTTTTATAGGGTGCTGTAACAAGCAAGGGTAATAATGGATATAGTACGTGGTACATGATGCCAGGGTGCCGTTCCCGTGGACACACCAATCTATTCGCGGTTAATGCTATTCCATATTTGCAGCCGCAGTACGAAGGCTATTCTTGATGGAAACTAGGAAGCGTCCACTACCCCGCTTGCTTATATATGGCCAAGTGCGGAATATGCTTGTTCTTATGAAATCAATGGTAATAGTCTGTTCGGCGAATTACCCACAATAAGCAGTTGCAAAGGATACTAAGTATATTGCATACGTCTTCGTATAAAAAGGGAGACACAGCTGTGCGGATATCCTGTGACGCTTCTCAACACTCACCATGCGCGCGCCTAGTTTTGCAGAGATTGCCTTTGTGCTGGTCAACGGCCTCTTGGTCAGTGCCGACACCACGACCACCATCGACGCCAAGTCAAACTGGGGAACCTGGGAAGGATGGGGCACGAGTCTTGCCTGGTGGGCCCAGCAGTTTGGCGACCGAGAGGATTTGGCGGATATTTTCTTCACCCTCAAAGACACCACATTTGCCGGCCAGACCCTGTCGGGTCTGGGCTTTTCTCATGCGCGCTACAACGCCGGTGCATGCAGCTGGAACACAATTGGTACAGACAAAATGGTTGTGTCACCCAATGTCAAGAGGTCGAGGCAGATGGAGGGATTCTGGCTGGACTGGAACAGCCAGGACCCCAACTCGAACAGCTGGAATTGGTAAGACTCAGCACTGCTTTGCAACATGGTTGTTGCTAATGTTGGTTTGTCGTTCGATTGTAGGTCTGTGGACGTCAACCAGCGAAAGGCACTTCAGCTAGCGATAGCCAGAGGTGTCACCAAGACTGAGCTTTTCAGCAACAGCCCAATGTGGTGGCAAACTAAGAACCACAACCCCAGCGGTTCATCTGACGGATCAGAGAATATCCAGTCCTGGAACCTCGAGCAGCATGCTGTCTATATGGCGACCGTCGCCCAAGTCTTTAAGAGCAAGTACAACATTGCATTCGAGACTGTCGACCCATTCAACGAGCCCAGCGCAAACTGGTGGAAGGCCGACGGTACGCAAGAGGGATGCCACATAGATGTGTCGACTCAAGCCCAGATCATTGGATACCTTGATACGCAGCTCAAGAACCGTTCCCTGTCGACGAAGATTGCCGCCTCAGATGAGTCTTACTATGACCAAGCAGTCAATAATTTGAAAACCATAGGCAGCAGTGCCCTTGGAAAGATTTACCGCGTCAATGTGCACGGGTACCAGGGCGGAAGTGGTGATAGGGTTGGCGTCAACAGCCTTGCTACCGCTGCTGGCAAGGGGGTCTACAACAGCGAGTATGGAGACGGTGATGCCACGGGCCAGCAGATGGCAAGTAACCTCATTTTGGATTTCCGTTGGCTCAAGCCTCAGGCCTGGATCTATTGGCAGGTCCTCGACCAAGGTGGCTGGGGGCTGATTAACGCCGACAACGATGCTAAGACGCTTGGAGGCCCAACACAAAAGTACTTTGTCCTTGCTCAGTTTGCACGACACATTCGCCCTGGCATGCGAATCCTGGACGGTGGCGCCGACAATGTCGTTGCTGCATACGATGCCACCAACAAGAAGCTTGTCATCGTAGCCGTAAACTGGGGCAGCGCGCAGTACCTCAACTTTGACCTGTCGAAATTCAAGACCATTCCTCAGACGAACGCGCCGGTGACTCGGTGGTCGACGCAAATTGGTTCTGGAGAACAGTATGGAAAACATTCCGACACTGTAATTAACGGAACCAAATTCTGGTCGTATTTTGGAACAAACGTTATTCAGACGTTCGAGGTCTCCAACGTTGTGGTGTAGTGGGGAATAGCATCTTTGCAGACGAGTTCATGTAGATGATTGAAATTTTCTTCCTTGGTAGTACACAGCTACCCGCCACGACAAGTGAAATGCTTCACCCGATTCTCTGCTTTCTTCTTACCCATATTTCGTTGCCTTCGGCACCGGCTTGTTGTTGGACTTCCCAGACCTGAAGCTTGTAACTGCCTCTGTCGGAGCGTCCCGTGTGGAGATCAAACGACCAGTCATGCTTGGGGCATTGAATTCCAGAACTCAGCACCACGCCAAAGTCCTCTATGTCAAAAGGCACGCCGTTGGAAAGAGGATACGACGAATGCGGGCATTCCTGCAAATAGTCAACACCATCCACTGCCAAGACTTGACGTTGTTGGCCTACGTGGTTTACAGCAACAAACTTGCCCCTGTACTGAAACACCATGACTTGGTCTTTTGAGTTTCCCCCAAGCTCCGGATCCTTCCAATCATCAATGGCCACCTCTGTTGCGTTGGAGCTGTCATCCTGAGGCACGTGGAATACGCGACAACCAGGCACGAAATTTGCGCCGCATGACCGCCGCTCCCCCACGCGCACCGTATCGTCGAGGTTTGGATACGATGACGCGGGACCGGCGCAGAACCACGCATTGTGCGCTCTCGACGGGCGCGAAAACGGGCTGACAAGGAACGACATGGGCCAGGGTGTGGGTGATGGATCTACGGGTAGTGGAGGAAGGGGGTGCGCAGGTCACGACATGCATACGACATGCATCCTCCAACCAGGCTAGTGTGTTTTGCTCTTCCGAAGCTTCCGCAAAATCCTTGTTCGCAAGTGCTGCATTCGCTTTTGCTCTACAAACTGCGTTTACCTTTATTGAATAAAAGGGTAAAAAAGGCAGATATGCCTAATCGTCAGGTTAATTTGCTCTGTCATGAAATACGCTGCGTCAGCATGTCGAAATCACACATCAAACGAAAAAGACAGATAGCTACCACACGTCACTTGTTACTTGATACTGTTATCGTAGAAGAAGTACGGCTTAGATTGCGAGCCTAATCTTCTGCCTATCGAAAAACCCAGTAATGTATTTAAGAAGTACGGTGAGAAAGGTTCTGAATACTGTCCACCCATTTCATGGTAGCAATTAGGCATAAATCTTGTTATAGCATATTTAGAACTAACCCCATCTTGAGTGAGGACTGCGAAGAATTTACCTACCCCTAACCTAATTATTGGTGTACTCGTCGAGGAGACAGGGCCGGACTTAGGGTTGTCCCAGTTAACAAGCTACACTACTCAGCAATTGAAGACATAAGAACCTGCACTCAAGGATCTTACCGCCAAGTTTCCGGCAATAACCGCAATGGCAACAATCGTGATCAGTAGGACAGGCGGTGAAAAAGCATCTACCGCAGTTCCAGCGCTTCTTGATATTAACACTCTGCGGCACCGCTGAGCGCTTGAAATCTTCGACGCTCTTAATAGCCTCAACCTGCTTAGGGCTGTAGGCAGCTACAAGAGAAAACGCGCTTAGGGCGAGAGAGAGGGTAGAGACTACCATATTGAAAGTCAGTACGAAGATTTATACGCTTCTATTAAAGGCGAGATTAGCTTACACTTCATATCTAAGGATGGAGATATAGAGGACTTAGTCGAGGAGAATAGCTAGCTTTTTTGCAGAAAGAAATAGAGGAACCCCAGTAGCTTAAATAGACTTTATTAGAGCTAGTATTGCTAGTCGAATATATAGCAAAGATTTGAATAATCAGTTTACTAGCATATAAAGATACCTATAAGCAGGTGTCAGTGCTGATCTCAGCTGGTTGTTGCCAAGAGTAAGGACTGGTATTTCTCGCAATTACCTGTAGTATCTTATTCCAAGTGTGTTGATCTTAATTTCAATTACTAAGATTTTCTATCCTTACGAGCTATAAACGGGTAATAGACAGCTAACAATATACTAAAAGATCTTATGGTTTTATGGTTTATTGCGAAGAAGAAGGAGTATCACTTCTAATCATAAATTGACAAACTTGAACAGGCTCCTATTACCTGCTAGGTACACAAATAGATAGAACAAATGAAGTACGCAATCCATTGCTTGGCTCTTCGCGGCCGGAGCCTCGGCATTCCCGAACGCCAGGCTAAAAGATCTTATGTGATACTAGATCTGCCGAATAGTTGGGCTGAAGTTCACTAAACCTAGGCTCGTATGACTATAGATGACACGAACTCATAGAGGCGAAGGTACGCGTCAATTGACCAACGTCCATCCCCATGTGCCTGGACGGAGGATACAGCGGGACACTTTCTTTTCCAGGCCCTCAGATTGCCCTTAGGGTTCTCAAGCGTAGTGAAGTGCAAGGCACGTCTTCTCTGTAGCTCTCGCTTTTCTAGGATATCAGCTTCTAAGTTAAATCCGCATGGTTGATTCAGTCATCTCCTATACGAGAAATACAACCTCTTAACTAGATATCATCATACTAAGCGCTAGTGCTACGTACGCCACGATGCTCTTGTAAAGGGGCCGTCTCCGGAGACCTATCGGAGTCATCGCAGATCGGTAGAGCCACAAGGTTAGATATATAGTATATAGTCTTTACATGAACCCTAAGCAACACATCTAGTATTAGATAATTAAGTACAAATAGACACGTAGCATAGATATTAGAAGGATAGGGGAGCAACAATCTTCATTATAAACATAACTAAATACCTCTAAGATAGAAATTCTATCGATCTAACTCTAGAGAGCTGAGGTATTTTCAGAAAAAAAGCTTCAGATCACTATAAAGCCCTATCTGTGCGTTTTTCTACACCGACTTTACCTACTAAATCCTCTTCCCTACCTAGCTATCCTGCTCTAACAACTCTGTAGGCAGCATTGCGTACCAGCAGGGCGCTTAAAGCAACACTAGTGATATTAGTTAAGTCCTACTAGTAACTATAAGTCCATGAAATACGGAAGGTGGCTTACAAGGATAGGGACACTAAGGTCACAAGTAGGAGCTGGGTCGCGATTCTGATTTTCTAAGGGCGCATGGGTGCTAGCAAGTTCAAGTGGAGCGCTGAACGCAACCGCAACAAAGGCAAGCGAGATAGTATAAGAAAGCTTCATGATTGTAATATAAAGAAAGAGCTTTATGGAAAGACTGTGACTGTTTGCTTAAGAAGCTAACGTAGGTGTACAGAATACCCCTATACAGATATGTATCGCAGAGAAAAAGGAATCTGTTCTGCAGACGCCGTGGCTGGAAGCTATATATACTGCAACAATATACGATGTAATCTCTATTAGCTAGCCTGAATAGGTGTAGAACACGAGTGATATTCCCTCTCCTAAATGCTCTCCTCTGTTATTCTCAGCGCTAAGCACTGCGTGAAGCTCGTATACTTCCTAATTTAGTAATAAATCAGCACGCTATCTACAAATATACTAGTTATAACCAAGCGCTTAGTAGATCTAGAAGAAATACGTTCAATAGCAATCGGAATAAGCTGAGAATAGTCATTTGATTTGTTGCATGAGTGATTTTATTATGCCAAGGTAGTAGCTTTCATAAAATGAGGAGAGTGTACAATAAAAAACACAGTAAGCTACTGTACTTTGTACTTTGGATGTAATAAGTTAGTATTAAGATACACTGTCAAGTTCTGCAAAGAGCCATCAAGAGCCTTTAGTAAACACGTGTCGCAGTATCAATCAAGCTTCAAGTATACCCTTATTAAGGGAATATTGGAAGTACTTGATTAGGTGGACTAGTGGATCAGAAACGTGTTAATTAGTAACTATATATCTACGGCTTCGCAGATCTGTATGTTTCGATGGGTTTTAAGCCTTTAAACTGCAGAAGCAGTCTTATTAATTCTCTCTCGATCTAATCTATCCACTTATCTATCTATTAAATCCTCTACAACACGAAATCTCCTGTAGGAACTAAACTTTAAACTTCGCTTACTTAATAATACGTGTAATATATGCTATATAAAATAAGTATTAAGACAGCGCCTAGGAAGAAGAGTATGGAGTTGTCTAGTAGTATATACAAGCAGCGAAATGTCGCTATATTTAGTGCAAGGCAAGGAAACATGTAGGCTTCCTGATAGGTTGCTCTCCTATCTATTTAACCTTCCATGACTCCACAATTTCTATTTGTGAACCTGTCAGGCGATAGGAATCTGTTCAAATTTGACAATTGATTTTTTAAGAAGTGATACTGTACAGTTGTAGAGTGCAGAACTGCAATATCTTCTTAGTAAGTAGAACAACGTACAGAGCCTTCTCCAGAGACCGCAGCGCGGTGGGACAGAGTACTGAAAAAAAAATTCACTAAGGCTGTAGCTAGGAGCGAAAGATTTTTAAGAGATGTTGATTGATTGATTTTCCTACTTGTGCCTGTCTGACTGTTGATCCCTTCCGGCCAGAGAGCAGTCCATAGTAAGCTCATGGCTCACTGTAACTCTGTGCACCAGCACAATACCTAGATTCGATTCGCTACAAAAACAGAAAATGATAGCGCTAAGTTGTTAGTGAAACGTAGGATTTTAAACGTAGTGTGCAGCTTAAAATTAACAAAGTTGTAAGTGAAAAGGTAATCTAGCGGTGTAACCCAGCCCCAACCTATTGGGAAGCGTACCCATTCATAAGGCCAAGGAAGAAACAGAAAAGTAAAAAACAAGTCAACGAGGCGACGCCTTAGGAGTTAACAACATTTAATAAACCATCTCACCCTATGTTTCAGGACCTACCAAATCTAGCAAGACTCGGACTAGTGAAGTATCGCTAAACCAAATGCAACATATGTCAATTGATAAACTTACGTAAACTTAGAAATGGTAAGCGCAGGTGGATATTTATAGCAATTTCTATGAGCGTAGCATAGGCTACTTGTTTGAGGGAACCCTGGCATGTTTAGACTCGCAAAGCGGCACGGCAGCATAGAGGTGCCGTGGAAGGTGTTTGTCCGCATTGGCGGGTAGGAGCCCTATGTGATTCCTAATTTGAATGATCCTCTGGAAGCTCTCCGTCTACCCTCCTTGTATCGTTATCGCCTTCGAGAACTTAATAACCTGTTCAGTAAGTAACTTCAGAGAGCCATATTTGAGTTTGAGACAAAAACGAACTTGGTAGGGTCGGAGATGCTTCCTGATTAGAGATAGTACTCATATCCCTGCCCATCCCAGTGGCAAAGAACTCTGATGGAAACATCCGTACAGAATTGAATTTAACCCTCACCTGCCTAACCTAGATTAACGCCGGCTGAGATATCGGTGGAAAAAAGGAAAAGTGGGGGCCTACCAACTCACCAGCCTATTGGGGGCTAGTCCACATGCCTTGAGCCTGTGCGCAGCCAATTGAAGCGCAGTATATCAACCCATCCAGCCCGTCAAGCTCTGTGAAGCCCTGCCTTGATAAAGCTTGATAAAGCTTAATGAGATTGGCTTAGCTTAGCTTGGTCATTGGATCACTCCAGCGTGATTGAGAGATTAATATTTGTTGATTATTCAAAGAACAAGTGGACTGATGAAATTCATCTATCATTCATACCTGTTGCAGTCCGGCTTATCATCCTATATCACTGCCGTCTTAGGAATTTGACTGCTGCCCGTAATAACCCACTTTCCCTCAGCTTCCCACCATACCTCTGGCGGGCGCTCCAAGCGGCGTGTCAAGTCACGTGACCCTACTCCGCAGTGATCATTTCCATCTGCCGTGGCTGTGTGTTGGCCGGGGCCGCTCGTTCCTAAATACGAGAGAATCCTTCTTGTTCCGTGTAACACGGAGCCACTTCCAAAATCGGGGTGTGGCTGACTTACCCTTATCACTGCGGGAGTAACGGCTTTTGATAAGCACTTCCGTACTCAAAGACGGGAAATAGTGTTAGAACCCTAGTCACGATAAGCTTCCTCGGCATAACCCAGGTCGCCCCTCCGTGATAGGACCGGACCGGCCTAGATAGTGTATATAAAGCACATGAACCTCCAAAACTGGGGTGTTTAGGCTTGTCTAGTATCTACTACTCCTCTACCACGCATTCTGCACTCAATGGAGAGCCAAGCAGAATAGCCACAAAGCTCTTCAGACATTACATTTACGTCTGGCTGTCATGTCGTCTCAACCTGGCTTCGTGAGCGCTGGCTCGGAGGTGCACGTCGACGCAGCCGACATGTCCAAAACAAAGGCTGAATATGACATTGACAAAGTTTCGGCATCGAATCCGTTGCCAGCATACGAAGTTGATGACGACGGCTCTAGCAATCCCACGAAGACCGAGGGCCCGGTAGAGACAGCTCAAGACTTGGTAACCACTATCATTCATGTTGAAGATGACCCGACCCTGAGCCCATACACTTTCCGCATGGTCTTCCTTGGTATGCTGCTCGATTCTGTACAGACATTTCTACTTGCTAATAATCTGCTACAGGTTGCGGCCTTTCCATCTTCGGTTCCGTCTTATCGGAGATCTTTTACTTCAAGCCCCAGACCATTTTCGTTTCCGTAGTCTTCTTGACTGTCATTGCCTATGTGCTTGGCGAGTTAATGGCTCTTTTGATTCCGCGGAAAGGCATCTTCAGGTACCTGAATCCAGGACCATTCAACCAGTGAGCATCCACTGCAGCATATCGGGCGAACCTCTCATATACTAATAAGATATGAATAGAAAAGAGCATGCCGCTATTACCATCATGGCTTCTGCTGCTGCCCAAACATCAGCATCTACCGAAGCTCTGGCTGCACAAGAACTCGTCAGTAACGCCAATGTTCGAAACAACCGCGCAACATGCACTGACTCTATGAAATGGTCTTTAGTTTTACGGAGGCTACCCAAGTCGCGTAGCTGGAATTTTCGTCGTATTGTCCTCACAACTGATCGGATTTGGTATCACAGGGCTTCTCCGAAATGTCCTTACCTACCCCACTAAGATGATATGGCCCCAGAATCTACCCATTGCCACGCTACTCGAATCGCTGCACCGGGACAAGGCCGAGACCAAAAGGCGACTCAGAGTATTCTACATCGTCTTCATTGCGTTGTTCGTCTGGGAAACCCTACCCGAGTACATGTTCACTGTATTGACTGGTGTATCCATCTTCTGCCTCGCAGACCAGCACAACCTCGTCTTCACCAACTTGTTTGGCGGCGCCTCTGGTAACGAAGGTCTTGGATTCTTGAACATCTGCTTCGACTGGAACTACATCGCGGGACTCAATTCACCGCTCTGGTATCCTTTGCAGACTAGTTTCAACATGATGCTTGGCATCATTGGTTGCTACATTCTCTTCATGGGTACGGTCACTCGTTCACTCAATATGTTTGTCTCAGTTCACTGACATGATCTTCTAGGCGTTTACTATGGCGATATATGGAAGTCTCAGAGCTTCCCCTTTCTATCGCAACTGCTATTCAATGGGACTGCGTCAAACTCTACGTTCTACGCCGAGTACAACCAGTCTCTGATCTTGGACTCACAATTCAGAATCAATGAGGCAGCACTTGCTACAGAATCCCTTCCCTACCTGACAGGGACATACATTGTCTACCTTATCACCTCAAACATGGGGGTAACGGCTGCGTTGGTGCACATGGCGCTCTGGAATTTTGACGACGTTAAACAAGGCTGGTCATTCATGGCACCTGCGAACCTCAAGAAGATGCTTCAAAAGGACTACTGGATATTCTGGAAGGGGCAAGAGACGCCAGAACAGCTGTGGGAGAAAGCACAGCATGATGAGGACCTTGATCCACACTACAAGCTTATGCTGAAGAACGGATACGAAGAATGTCCCAATTGGTGGTGGTTCACTATATGGCTTATACCCTTTGCCGTGGGACTAGCTTGCTTGTACGTCATGAAGGTAAGTTGCTAATTTGCTTTTTGCGTACTGAAACCATAGTGGGGCCACTTGCTGATGATGAGTACAGTCGACACTCCCATGGTGGGGGTTTGCTTTTGCGAGTCTTCTCACCGTCATATTTGTGCTCTTCTTGGGTGCTCAAACGGGACTTACGGGCTTCATCTTCAACATTCAGCCCATTTGCCAGATGCTCGCAGGTTATCTCTTCCCTGGCAAGCCACTCGCCAACCTTTACTTTACCTGCTTCACGTACAACACCTTTCAGCAAGGAATAGTGCTGGGCCGCGACATGAAACTTGCGCAATATGTTCACCTTCCACCGCGCTGCACGTTCTTCTCACAAGTTGCGGGTTGTCTTATCGGCGCGATATTCAACTGGGTCATGATGGACACTATCGTCGAAAACCAGGCCCCGATCCTTAAATCCGTCGAAGGTTCCAACATCTGGTCGGGACAGAACATCCAACAGTTCAACTCGCTTGCCATTACCTTCTCGATAGCACATCACCTGTACTCGGCAGGCAAGCGATACCAATGGGTGACGCTGGCCTACTTGCTTGGATTCCTAGCTCCGCTTCCGCTCTACTTTGCGCATCGATATACTCGATGGCGTGGCTTTTCTTACATCAACACCAGCATAATCCTGTGGTATTGCGGTAACCTCTTCGTCGGTATCAACTCCAGTCTGACATCCTTCTTCATTGTGGCCTTTATCAGTCAGTTCTGGCTGCGCAAGAAACATCCACAGTTCTTCGTCAAGTGGAACTATCTGGTGTCGGCTGCTATGGATGGAGGCACCCAAGTACTAGTCTTCATATTCACCTTTGCTGTGTTTGGCGGCAGTGGAAAAGCACGTCCTTTTCCCACATGGGCAGGCAATCCGGATACCAGCCTCAGAAACATTGACTACTGCATGAAGGACCCCGTGAGCGCTGGGTAATAGTGATGGAGTGGTAGTTGAGGAAATGTGTCCGGTGGGATTGGCAGGTTTCTTCCAGTCGTTTCTATAAATCCGTAGGCACCTATAGCGTTTTGCACCAACGAGCACATAATGACTATTGTTTTTGATCAGGCAGTGCACATTATCGAATGTACAAACAGTGAGTCAATTGCTAAGAGTGTTGGAAAGAACAGAACTTGGTCAACACAATCTGCCATAAGGGCAGTCGTGCGAGTCTACGAAAACTCGCCCAGTCCATTGTCAAGCAACATTTGAGGAAGGTAACATGCGCAAAGCGGCAACTAAATTAATTGGTAGAAGGCGCATACTTTGTAAAACCCATCAATAGCCGCATCCAAGAGGAGCTCTTGCAATGGTTCAGCGGTGTGCATATGAGGGTGTGGCGTTGATCACGTGGTGGTGTATATCACGTGATCGGCCCTAGGCGAGAATCCATCCCAGATAGCTTTCGCACGAAGAGCATATCAATCATTCCACACCTGCAAAGACTCTTGTTCCCTGTAGCTCTCTCTTGGAGCCCCGCCGGCCGATTGTGGATCAAAACTTTTTCTTCTATCTCCCCCCTACTGCGATGGCTAGCGACGCCAACATGGATGCAATAAAATCGAGGCCGTCTCTCCAGTGCGCCCTGAGCCTACCAGCAACAGTGCACGCACAGCAATGCAATCTGGCCACCATGATGGCGATGGCTCAACTGCAGCTTTGAAGCCGACGATTGGGCGATTGGCCTGCACTAGGCATGAAGGAATTACCGGACCATGTCAGAAAACTCGGTCGCTGAGCACGGACGTGGTGCGGATTTGCAGCTCTGAGCCGCGAACGCCGTGGGAGACCAAACGGCGAGAAGGCGTTGCTGGGCTCACACACGGCGGCGATGCAGCCCCAATGGAAACGGCCATGGGTGTTTTTTCCATGCACGCGCAGACTGCCATGGTGGGCGCATCTGGCAAAGACGTGGCGCATGCCATACTGCGGCATGACTCCGGGCAGCCCGGTGTTTAGTTTCTCCTTTCTCGTATCAAGGCTGGTGTTGTGGGGCGGCCCTCGACGATCCCCCAGGGTTAGCACCTGGCAACTTTTGACGTGGACGTCTCTTTTTCTTTGCCATACCGTGCTTGCATGCAACGCCGTCTCGCCCTGCGCTGTTTCACCCGGCGGCTGAAATCCCCTGCTCCGCCGTGTTTTCTACGGCCTCTTTTTCAATAGTTGGATGGCGACGAAGAACACGAGGATGGTGTCGTGGTGGCCCGCAACTCGGCTCGAATGGGCCTTTTTCAGCGCCACAGCAGTCCAGGCCTGTGTCAACATCACCATTCAAATGTATGTCGCGTATCATACGAGCCGCTCCTCCTCGTACTTTTCTAACTCCCGCACTAGGGTCGTCTTAGTCTACTACCTCGACTGGGTCAACAGTGTCATCTACCAGGTAAGTCCGTAGCGAGACCCGTCCTCCACGTCAGCACATCGAGCCAATACTAAGCATGCTTCAGGTGCCATTAGCATACATCATTAGTTTGACGCTTTCTATCAACAGTCTTGGTTGTCTCTACCAACTCATCCTGACTCTGGACGCATACCGCATCAAGAACCACATTCAGATTTTTGTGCTATGCGCAGCCAACATCTGTCTTTCCGCATCCACCATTCTGCAATATGGCGAGGTAAAGAGTGCACAAGCCGATGCTCTCAGAAACTATGACATGCACAACACTCCCTTTGCGAAGAATGACTGGGGATTCTGGCAGCATGTTTCCCCTGCCCTCATCACCTGCATCGCCGTCAGCTGCCTCTGCAGCGCCATCACATGCATTTTGGCAATCCAGCTGCACCGCGAATTTTCCTGGTCTTTGTATCAACACATATCACCGGACCTGGACATCCAAAATAAGTACATGGTGTACCAAATCTACCTGGTCACTCTCAAGTACACTCCCTATTTCATCTTCTCCTTTATTATTATATACGGAATAATCGATGTTCATTATAGAGAGCCCGAGTTTTCATTGACAATGGCCATTATACCCGCCACCCTCATACACCTCGGGCTCGCCGTCTACTTTGTCCGCCACGAAAAACGATTTGCAATGTTCCTTATTCTAGTAAGTCAAATCACTCATCAAGTCAGCAGCTAGCACTGACAATACAAAGTTTCTCCATGTAGCCAGTATGGCTTACATTATCAGCCGCCTGATCGTCTTGAATGGTCGCTCGCAGTTGGCGAACACGTTGATGAAAAACGAAATGATGTTCTACTTGGTTGTCGCTCTAGCCTTCGACTCTGCTTCCTTCGTCATTGGAAGCATTTGCTTTGCAAATTTCCGAAAAGGATTGAGGCCTTTTCTACTGGGTCAGATACAGCGCCAGTCCCGGGCCGAACAGATGGAAGACGACTACTACATCCAACGACTCAACTACAACATTGTACCACTGTCGGATCGTGATGGACCGAGACTCGACCTCGACTAAATCCCGCTTTCGCATGGCCATTTTCGCTTTTTCGGCACCTTACATATCATTATTTAATGTTATTTTCTAAAAGTCAGTCTGACGGTAAAAGACGGGGCTACATTGCAGGAATGAGCAGTCTGGATGCCACAAATAATACTGTACGCACTGGTAGTAAGCATTATCTTGTATTAATGATATGAAAAATTAATCTTCCAATTCTACACATGAGATTAGGTGCGTTGTGCAGTAGTGACGTCAAGTATACCCATCTGCGCTAAGGAGACGCTATTGCGTCATCCAGAGAAGGAAACGGAAGAGGCCAACCTTTCCTCATCCATTTCAGTAGCCAGAAAATATCACAAGATGCACCGCGGCAATACGACAGTCAACCGGGAAAGGAGAAATACTCTGCACAGATACCCATGTTGATTGAGCCGCCGAGAAGGTCTAATCAGTGACGCCCGTCTAATCAGCATATATATCGTACCTGCCTTCTGATGATGCTGTAGCTGCAAAAAGTGGATACAGTACAGCAGATGGCCTGCTACCAGTCAATCGTTTGTGGGTACTGAGCTGCCTCAAATCAGCCATGATCCTACGTACTTCACGTGAGTGCTCCAGTCCATACCATTTCTACGCACACACGTTCGTTATCTCATCATAGTGAGTCTCTATATTCAGGCTCTAGACAAAGAATGCTATACCGCTTTCCAACATCACCATCCCAGACTACATCTGTAACAACACGCAACCTACGACCCCCACTTTTCAAACCACTTCAGCATAAAAGTTGTTGCATTCCACGTTGTCGGTCCTCCTCTTAGTGTCTCAAAAGGCTCGCCCTGGTTCTTCACACTCGGCCAACCATGGCCAAAGTGCTCAATCGCCCTGTGCACGATAACATCGCGCTTTGCTTTGCAAGCCCATTTCTTTTGAATCACAGTTCCCTTCTCGGCAGTCTCAACATACGGCTTGTGGGTACATTTTGAATTCTTCACCCATGTCTCCACCCAATCCATCACAGGGATAAACGGCGGGTTGTTGTGGCCGTCGTATGGCACTACAGTGTCGTTCAGACCATGCAGGTTCATATACGGAAGGACTTGGTCCTCGTTCAAGTCCGGCCGACAATCTTTCTGGAACAAGGGCTCTTTCAGACTGGTATCGGGGTAAAACGCGCCGCCGACCGTGGCAAAGGCTGCGAATGCTTTGTTCAAAGCTGAATCGCACATGAGCAGTCCGACCAGGCTACCTCCGTTGGAAATGCCAGTGGCATAAACTTTCTTCTCATCAATGCACAGTGTAGACGTCAGGTTGGTGAGGATTTCGTCGACAAAAACGCGATCATCGATAACGTTAGATGTTGGAGCCATGGGATCACCTAGGAATTGTACCTATGCCGACGTGTCAGCTGCTGCAGGTCTCCTTCTTTACTATCAAATACTTACACCTGGAGGCTGGACATTCATACCCTGCGGATACACGACGACAGCATCCGGGTTGAAAGCCGGGTCCGACAACTGGGTAATCTTCTCCATGCTCCACGCCGGCTGCTGCTGGCCGTGGAAAGCAAAAACCAGAGGCGCCGCCTTATCGTTAGACGCCGCATATCCCTTGGGCAAATACAAAATGTACTCTCGCGTCGTCGTCTTGCCTATGACGGACCGGGAAGAAATCGTCACATTGTGGGTTGATGTACCGGGCCGGAGATTGGGCGCTAGTGTAGTCCCACAGCCAGAGCTTGCTGCCAGGGCGATGGGAAGGAGACTGGCTAGCACGCTGAGAATGTATGCTATGCGAGCCATGTTTGCGCAGCGTTTGGGAAAGCGGAACGACTGGGGTGGGGGTGTGCGATTCGCAACCAACATGGCCGGCCTTTTTATACGCAACACTGACAGGGAAAAACTAGATATTGCTATTATTAAGATTGACCTGTGCACGAGGAACTGAACGGCCCCGGGTCGGCCCATATACGAAGGATATATTGCAGCACGGAGCCTGGGTATTCGGGCCTTTGCTTGCTGTTTCGATGCGCGTTGCTTGGAGCAGAGCAGGGTATCGAGGAATGTAGTATATTTTCGATCCTATGAATTGGTTGATAGATCAGTAAGTCACTTGCAAGAGAGCGCTCACAAAAATCATGCAATGGTGAGGGTGAATTGGTATCTGAATAGGATGAGTTTAATTGAGTCTTTTCGCTTCTTGCATTAGCACCGTGTCCGCTGCTTCACTCTCTTCCAATGTACCTGGACATCGTAGTTTGCTCAGCCCGCGAAGCAAACCAGAGACATGGATATAAAAGCTGAATAGAATTCGCTCCTTTATGCCAGTGCATCGAGCCTCTTCGCTATAGGTATACACGTATGTTACAGCAATTTTCGTCTTTGCACTGTAAGCTGATTGCTGCATATGTAGCAAGTGTCCGATCGATACGAACAAGATCGATCGAACAAGCCTAGAGATGACGCACATTCCTCACTTGGAACATACCATCACACATGACACCAGACTAAAAGGTTTCTGCATTCTGACTTTCGACTCACCACCTAGAAGCCCGAAGCGAACATCACGAGAATACCAAACACACACACACACACAACAAAAACAATAAGCAGGAAAATGGTTCTGAAATTGTATGAAAAAAAAAGGTTTTCCTTAATCGCCCACTGAAACGCCTCAGAATCAGGTTTCCAATTCGACCAAAGTAGCGCAAACACCCCAACCGCAAAAAAAAAAGGCTTCTTCACCGCTGTACCGTCCGCGCACCACGAGGCCCTGGCAATTCGAAAATGGTGCTTCGGCGCGCAATCTCCTCGCTTGATCTCCTCCATTCCTTGACGGAGTAGAGGCCAAAACGGTTCAAATCAATCTTCTTATCCGCAGTCTGCTGATCCACAGCCTTCCTGTCCGCACTCCGCTTGTCTGCAGCCTTTTTGTCTGCAGCTTTCTTCTTCTTGGCCGCCCTCTTCGCAGCTTTCCTCTCTGCCGCCTTCCTATCCGAACATAGAATTCCCCTCGCCATGGTGCTCGTGAGCGTGGCTGTGGTTATGGCCCGCGCCAGAACTCGCATCGTGACTGTGGATTGTCGTCCCGCCAGACACCACCCTGTGGAGGGTGCTTTTCGAGCCAAAGCGGCCGGTGCCCGAGTGTGCTGCATGGTACATGCTGCTTGCATTTTCCTCGAAGCGCTCCATCTCGCGGCACTTCTCCTCGTACTTGGCAATGTACTCGTCGCGCTCGCGGTCGGCCGCATGGCGAGCCTGGATCGCGCGCTCCTTTTGGTCGCGCGCCTCGCTGAGCAGCGTACGCAGCGACGTGATTTCGAATTCAAACTCTGCGGATGAGTCCTCGTACGAAGTCACTGTTTCGGTAATCTCCTCGTATTTGTGCTTCCAGGCACCGAGGTCCGACTGTGCGCGATCGCGCTCGTATGTGAGGTTTGTGATTTCGGTTTGGAACAGGGTGAGCCTCTCTTGCAGACTGGCAATCTCGGTCGTGAGGTGGCCATGCTTGCTGCGGGATTCCTCGCCCTCGCGGTACAGGACCCTGTTGCGCTCCGTCAGGGCGAGCACCTCGGATTTGATCTCGGTCATGCTGAGCTCGGAGCGGCGGAGGGATTCTTCTAGGGCGGTGATACGACGACGGCTCTCCTCGACCTTGCGGTGCTCGTCGTGAATGTCCTGCTTGAGCTGTTCGCGCTCAATGATAATAAGGCGGTGGTCTTCGCGGGAGCGGTCAATGGAAGCTGAGAGCTCAGTGCGCTCAACCTCGACATCTCGGAGCTTCTCCTTGACGGAGACGACCTCACGTTTAGTGTGCTCGAGTTTGAGCGACAGCTCGTTCGCCCGAGCATCAGCCTCCTCACATCCGGCAATCCTGGTCTTGACCTCGCGGCGCAAGTTGTCAATAGTAAAAGCAAATTCTTCGCGCTCCGATTCGACCGTGCGAAGAGTCTCCTTGAGCTTGTGGAGCTCACGCTGCACACGGTCATGGTTGTCCGTAAGCTCGGTGAACTCACGAGTGGCATCGTCAATCCTGGACTTGGCGCGCTTGAGTTCCTCGTTCAGGCGGTCTTTGTCGTGAAGGTGCTCGTCCCGCTCAAGCTCGAACAACTTGATGCGCTCGTTGGTGGAGGTGAGTTCCTTGCGAGTAAGTTCAAATTTGGAGCTAGTCTCTGAGTACTTGCTCTTGAGCTCGGTGTGGTCGCGGAGCAGAGAGCGGACTTCGTTGTGGTGCTTGTCCGAGTTGTGGCGAGCAATGTCGCGTTCGCCCTCGCAAGTCTTGAGACGTGCATATGTAGCCTCGAGCTCAGAGCGAGTTCTCTCATGATCGCCATGTGCAAGCGCAACCGAGGCTTGAAGCTCGTGAAGCTCATGCCGCGTCAACTCCAAGTCGCGGTCTCGATCAGCAAGCTTCTTCTTGTGTTCTGAAACTTGGGCGACTACAGCTGTGAGTTCGAGAACGAGCTTCTCCACTTGCCTCTTCCTCTCGCCGTGTTCATGGCCGTGTTGTGAATGCTCGGCTTCCTTGCGCTGGATCTCTTCCGTCACCTCCTCTATAGTGACCATGAGCTCGTCCCGTTCGCGCAAAAGAGTGTCGCGCTCAGACAAGATACGTGCCCACGACTCCTTCAGCGACAATGCCTCGCGGGAAGCGCTGGAAATCAGGTCCATGAGAGCAAAGACCTTTCCGTCCGCCTGTGAGGTGAGCTCGCTGGACATCTTGCTGCGATGTGACTGGAGGAAGCTACTTGCGCGGCGGCTGGATGAGTTGAGCTGGCGAGTTGACCGGCGTGTCGTTAATACCGAACTGTGACCGCTTGCCTGTGTTCCAAACGAGAAGGAGCGGTTTCCTGTGGGTGAGGATGGCTCTGACATGATGTCTCGGCCGAGCCCGCTGGCCTTGAGCTTCATGACGGTGAGCTTCTCGGGAGTCATGTCGTCGGTTGCGAATGTGTCGGTCATGACCTTGGTGAAAAGGAGAGTAAAACGAGATGATGGAGAGACAGTTGGAGAACGAAGAACGTGAGAGGCGGGATACTTATGCTATCTGGATTAGCAACCAATCAAGCGTGAATGACCTAAAGCTGTGTAATCCACACCCTACACTGACACTTCAAGGGAATAGCAAGTCGACTATCTGACACATGGGCTGCTTGAGGTCTGGCGCATGGTAAAGAACGACTTGCATGCATGACGCAAAGGCCAAAGCATCTGGCAAAACAAACGAGCCATGCCAGCTGCATCTGGACATGCTTGGCTGTTTCCGGACAAGCACATGCAGCAGCTCCAAAGGGTGAGTGTAGACGACGAGCTGGTTAGTAGACATGTCGGCGACCTGGGAGGTGGGTGGGGTAAGTCGCAGCCGTCGTTCAGCTCGTCACTAACAACCACATGCAAGACAAGGTTGGGCCCTCCACATGTATGGGCGATCTCTTGCAGTCTCAGCGAGCCACAGTATCGCTTAGTGGGCCGCGTTGATGAGATAGTGGTGCCAAGCGCGGGTAGATCAAGTGCTATCGGGCGTCGCGATGCTGCATGCTGCTGATCAAATACGGGGTATCGACGCGCGCTCGCTTGCTTTTTCCGTTTCAATAGACATCCAATGCTTTTCACAGGGCCTGAATGGGATTAAGCGGATGCAGCCAGACAGAACGCCAGCCAATCTTCATTCTTCAACGTCAGTGCCAGCTCACAAGAGGCCGGTGAGGCCGCTCCGGGGCAGCCGATGAATCGCGTGACGCCGCGTTTGTAAATGACGTTGCATGCAGCGGTTCGTTTCCATAGGATAGTAGAGACATACGTAGTGTCGCGGGTGACGGTAGGGCGCATCGATGCCGCTGCTGGGCGACCCCGCCTTGGTGGTGTGGAAGCAATAAACGTGGTGAGACGAGCGACCATGGAGGCGCTTGCGTTGGCAACCAGCTTACTTTGAAGGTAGAAGCAATGAAAAAGTGAAACCGTGTTTTCATCTATTTTCAGTCGGTGTGCTGCTCGTGTGACAAACGCCAGAACAAAAGAATTACATGGCTGCTTTTTGCATCATATTTGCTTGGGGTTAAATCCAGGTACTTATCGAAGGCCTGTGCAGGGTCTGTTAGCCGCAGCAGATGTATCGTGGCAATGTTACACGTGCTATGCCTGGGAGTATCTCATTGGTATAAAGAAAACATAGAATCTAAATATCGAGCATATTCCATATGCACATGTACTGGACGGCAAGAAAACATGCAGCAGGATCGCTGCGCCGTCTTGATGTAGAAACAGTTCAGTATCCACAGTGGGGATTCAGCCAAAAAAAAATTGGGCTGCTTTCAGGCCATGATAGCGGAGCTTGGCCTTGAAGTTCCATGCATGACATTTTCTTGGTGCTGCATGGGTGACAGTCCTCCTTGATCCTCGGGGCCATGCTCGTAAGCCGTACCCGGTGCATCCGTGTCTTTGGGAGTCATGATGCCGCCTGCATTCTCGTGCTCCATAGGATCAACCTGCTCATCAATGTCAAACTCAATGCCCTGGTTTGATTCAGTGTCTTCATCCATAGCGGCTTCGCTTTGCGCTGGGTCCTCTGTCACACCCTCGGAATACTGATGAGCTTCATCGTCTTGCTGATTCTGTAGTTCAGTAGCCGCATCTTCGGTGTCATTATCTTCTCCGCCATCCGCAGTTGTGGCACTGGTCGGTTCGATATTTAGTTCGTCTTCGTGCGCGTAGACCTCAACCTCGTGTGCCTCCTTTTCCTCTGCCTCTACAGGCGCAGCAGCGGCATCAGCCTCCATCAAATCATGAAGGAGCTGGTCGATCTGCGCAATGTATCGATCAGGAATCTGGCGCACGGTGTGGCCGCGCATCTTACGAGGGGCCGCAGGCTTAGCAGGCTTGGTGGGCTTTGCGACGGGAACCTCAGCAGCCTTGCGGCCAGCGGCCTTTTTCGGAGCAGAGACTTGGGCTGCGTTCTTCGGCGGTCGGCCCCGCCTAACTGACTTTGGGGCGGGTTCTTCCTTGGACACTTTTGTCGCGGGTGGCTGACGCGTGCGCAACTTGGATCGCATGCGCGGGGCGATACGAGCGGCCGCTGCAGCAGGCTTGGTCTGGGATCGAGCTGGAGTCCGCTTGCTAACGCGTGAGCCAGTGACTTGGCTTAGGTCAAGACCTGCTCCTTTTGCGGGGCGACCGCGCTTGCGTGCAGTTGGAGTTGGAGCTGCATCAGCGACGGCTGCTTTGGGAGGGCGTCCTCGACGCGTAGAAGTGGGCGGTGCCGTGTCGTTCTTAGCCATTCCTCGGCCTCTCTTGGGTGTTACTGCTTCAACAGCCGGTTCAGGCGCGTTGATTGATTTGCGACCGCGTTTTGCTGATGTCGACGCGTCTGGGGTCGGCGCGGACTCTTCTGCCGTCGCTTTGGCAGGTCTGCCGCGTTTCTTTGGAGGGTCGACAGCGGGTTCAGTCGCGTCGCTGGCGTTGGCTTTGGCTTTGGCTTTGGGTGGGCGTCCTCTCTTTGCAGGCGACGCGACAGGAGCATCCTCTGCTACCGCGGCCTTGCGACCAGGACCGCGCAACGCGTTCTGGACCTTGGGTGGCATATCGCGTGATTTTTGCGGCGTAATGCTGCGTGTAGAGGAATTGAGGTTTCTAAAGCGCGGTTGAAATGGTTCAGATGTTGTGCGCAAAGAGAAGGGGTAAAATTTGTGAAAGTTTGTGGAAGGTTGCTGAGGGGAAGCTCACCTGTATCTCACCAGTCGCGCGGGCTACTTAGCGCGGTCAGCCTCCACGTGACTCTCACCGTCATTGCGACGTTTCTCTTACCTTGAAAATACAAATTAGAACAAATTCACTTGGATTTTGTATCTGCCTCTCGACTGAGACTCTGCTACGTTATTCTCCCCGCTTTAAGTAACACCTGATGCGCAGTCACCTGGAGGGCAGCAGTGACGGTGGATTGACCACCCCCTAATTGCCCGTTCGTGATTTTGTCACTCTTCACCCTTGCTATATCCACTAGCACTTATTCCGAATCCTAGTTCATATCCTCAATAAGTGACTTCTTAGCTATTTCTCAATCACGTTATGGCCTTGCCTGATGAGTTATAGTGCATTGGGTGAGGGACACATCCTTAACAGTAGCTCAGAGACCGGGGCCACCATCACTGTATCATACTTATACCCACCACGCTTTGCTGCCTTATTCCTGCGCTGTACATAGTGCCATGAAGAATAATAAGCCCTGGTAGCTTACCACGTAAGCGCGAGCGCTTCACAGCTCTAGGTCTTACAACTGATATATACTCCTAGCTATTTACTGAGTAAGATGGGTCTGAAGGGATAAACCTTAACTCTAAGCTTTCCTCAGCCTTATTTTCTTTTAGAATAAGCCTATTAGTGGTGGTTATAGATATATCTGTTTTTACTTCTTTTACTTAAACAGCAGGGGGCATCTCTGACTAAGGATATATCAACAAATTTAACAAGCCCCTACCACTTCAGAGTTTCACAAATGGACAATTAGCATATGTCTGACCTTTCAAAAATCACCATTCTTAGCATTGTCTTTCCATTGCAGCGTCCCGTAATTTTTTTCTATCCTCCCGAGCGTTTTTATCGATGAAGCTCTTCTTCCTTTCTACCGCAATGCTTCATGGGGCTGTAGTGATCGCACACGCTACAGCCCCTCTAAAGGTAACTTTACAGTCGAGCGGCAACGCTATGGTAGGTAATATTGAAAAATAATTGCTTGCAAGACTACACACTCGTGCACCCAAACACGTTCCTTGATAAGGTACCTATCGATCGTGTCATCGTGACTCAATTGGATTGCACCGCAATTCCCCCTTATCTGACATCTCGGCCGAGTCGTTTCTTTCTCTCAGCACCAGAGAAATGCATAAGGTTGAATTCGGTCTTGCTAAGAGTTATCGGCTATACGAATTCCTCTCGGGAGTCTACGAAGTATACGCAGACGGTTTCTTCAACTATGCGCCGCTCAACTCGACAGCCGTGTCTAACGATATCATCCCATTCAAGAACAATGTACTATCTACAAATGTGGATTCAGATCACGCTTTGACTGTTTACATATCATTCCAAGACCAGCGCCCCCTTAAGCCAGCGCTTCGCAAGCGGGCAAAACTCGATCAATCGTGCAGCGGCGACCAGAACTACAAACTGAAGGATGCTCTCTAATAATTTGCTAACAAATCTGGCGTGGCCTCACTCTTAGCCTCCGACATGTCAGAAGAGACTCCAGCCGCTTACAAACGATATTTCTTCGTCAGTCAGCGCGAGGAAATCTTCTCTCTCCTCTCTCGCTTCTACTGTTGACCTGCTGCTCATTTATGTCTCTGTTCTTCTTACGCAAATACAAGTGAGAATATCTTGATAATGAAAGATCGAAAAATGAACAAGTTCCCACTAACTATCGGTTTCACAAACGAGTTACTCGTATGCTTATACAGGAAGGAGAAACAACAACAAAATTTTATTCGTGCACGTGTGGGCAGGTTGGTTTGGGTTCTTCAAGTACCCTGGTGTGAACACCAGACATTGACAATTCGGTCCAAGTTACTTTCCCCACTTGTAGGGGTAGATTGCAGCGCGATACTAATCTGTCAGGCGGTTGCAGGGGTCATCTTCACTTGAATTCAGGCGCAACTATTCTAATATATGGCGAAGTTATCAGAAGAGATCCTTCAAGCATGACAGCACCATGAGATTCAGGATAAGTACAGTTTGCGATCCAGAAACAGGAGTGACGTGAGTTGTCGCGAAGCATACAACAGTGGCTGGTCCAACATGGCCTGTTTCCACTTTATCCAGCATCCAGTTCTCGTGCGATAATTGGATTAATTAGATTAGAACGTGGAAGCAGCGGAGACTCATCAATTGAAGAGTTCTCGCGGAATCTGGAGTTGATTGATTTAAACGAGGCGAATTCACACAGGAGAATCCTCCTACTTACTTACCTTGGGTCGCACATTTTGCAACCCCACTTAGCCATTGCTTCTCTGACCCACCCCAACGTCTCATAATGGGTTACAATTTCAGTTAGTGCTACCTGAATATACGTTAGCTCTATCGATAAGCTCACAATGGTCAAGCGACTGGATCTACGTCTGGGTAAGCGAGCAAATTTGCAGAACCCCACCCTCGCAATCTCACCTTTCTGCAACGAGAACTCGCCTGGTCGTGGCCGAATTTTGACTCTTACTACATGGTATATTGTATTCATTGTCCTTCCATCAAATCACGTGAAGAGTCTCTTCAACAGCATCGGTGGTTTAGTGGTAAAATTAGCCGTTGCCATCCATCCCATGTGGTCTCACCACAAAGGGTGAACAACTTCGGCTAGCCCCGGGTTCGGTAAATCTCCATTACAGCCTATATTCGAGACCTCTAGCTCACAGCCTTCAGATTCCCGGCCGATGCAATTCCTCATACCTTTCTTTTTTGCTTGTCGCCCGCTCTAGTTGCGGTGATTTTTTGCATGTCGACGTCTACTCATTTTTACTGGATAAAGAATGGACTCATTTCACAGCATCGGCATTTTTTTATATAACGTGTTTTACAAGCGAGCGCCGCGTACAAGCGAGCGCCGCACCCCACCAAACCTGCGCACCTCTATAAGCCTGTAGTTCCACCACAATATAGTTGCTTTACTGTATATTAATATAATAGATTAAGCAGTACCTAGAGTATCTTTCTTGCACGTACGCGAGTTGTGGCCAGTTTCTCTACACCTACTGCAGCGCGCCAAAGCCTGGCGGCTGACACCTGATCGCTCTCCTCCCTGACGCTCTTCATGAGCAATCTGCTAACCAGCCTCACGCTAAGCAAGTAGATCCTCTCTAGCTCCCTTTGTTAGCACTCCATGCTTCTATATCCACTTCCTTTTACGCTACCTACGCTTTGTTGCTACCTCATTAGCCCTCTCAAGGCTGGCGATCCGATCACGCATTAGCTTAGCTAAGAGCATTATTCTCTCTGCCCCCTTCTTAAGCTGGCTAATCGCCACAATAATTGACGCTAGTGACGAGCTT